TTTGCTTTAAGTTCACTACAAGTTCCATAATGAAAAATTATTTTCACACAGACTACAGCCAGTAGCGTGCAGGGGGGGGGAGGTGCCGGGACCACGGGCATCCAACGCAAAGAGTCGAATCGAACAGTAGAACCCTTTCCGCCCTTCCCCAAGGTCTTAGGTACAAGGCCCCGGGCATCATAGAACCTCTGCACGCCACTGACTACAGCTCAAGAACTTTATGTTGTAGACTATTTAGAACTTGGGCTTCTTAAAGGTCGTTAAAAGAAATAAAGGCTTTCTTACCCTTCAAAAGAATGATCCAGCATGTCTTCTCCAATGTCTCTGTAAACATGTTCTTGTGTAGCAAAATTTGGGTCTTGGTGCTGAGAGCAGCAATAAGATTCTTTATATAATACTTATAAACTGAAAACAACCATAACAGAAAGAGCCAGTATTTTCTAAACTACACATTTATAGTCAAAATAAAGCTGTATTCACTGCCATATCATCACAGGGAAATAATAATATAACAGGAATATTATAATAAGTGGAGTAACATGTTGCAACTCACATCCTGGAATTGCGAATTTGTTTTGTTTGAATGTTATAGGGTTAATAGTTAACTGATCGTAAAAACAAGAAGCTGCCTTTCATGTTACATTTTAAACAAACTACCTTGACTAAAAAGTAGCAATCTTATAATTATTATTAAAAATACTTTTAAAGAATAATCATACTTTTACTCACCACAGATAAACCATTATTAAACACTAAAACTCGAACATTATGAGAAAGATAAGACAGCATTTGTATTTTATTAGGAACTGCCCTTGCATTTAGTGAAATAAAACATTAAACATAACAAAATTAAAAGCTACTTACATCATGTGACCAATAGGAATAGTCAAAGTTGAAACTTTTTGTGGCATCTTTAGTTCCTTGAGGAAGTTTGGGATTTATAATACCTAAAATAGAAAAATTAATAAAAAAATTTACATTTATTTTGGTTAATATACCAATTTTCTATCACCTTTCATGTTTTGTCAATAATTACTGCAGGCTTACCTTATTGTTTGGATTTGGAGAACAACAAGTAAAGCTATATATGGGATATGTTAGATACTGTTAAACACCAGTACTTCAAAATTAAAACAATCATTTAAGTTTGGAAATGATTTAATACATCAGTTGAACATTTGTTAAAAATACATAATTATTACTTCTTTCATTGTCACTTACTAACCTATTGAGAGTCTCAAATAATACAGAATTTTACTCAGAATTATAAATAATCACTAAAACAGGAATAGAAGTACATCCTATGAAAGACCACCTTGCTTCTACCTAGCACCACATTCATAAAACCATTATCAACGTTAACACTATTTTGAAGTAACTTAGTGCACTTACAGGAGATTGGTCACAATTTTTGACATTACCATGCAGTTGGCCATTCAACAGCTAACCAAAAAAAGAGGATTTGTACTTGGTAGACTGCAATTTAATTTCAAGCTATACATTTGTGGATGTGTTGAACATTAAGATCAGAAGTGAATGCCTAACGAGGAGAATAATGAACATATTTATGATATTGTTGCGTCAGCGAGTCACATGACCACCGTGACGCAACGTTTCTAGAACTATCATGTACTTTG